CAGTCCACGAGCAGTGCTTGTTTGAGCTCCATTTACTTGACTGACATGTGATTCTTTTATCTATGTACTCCTAGGATTTTTTTATTTTTTTATTTTTATTTTGTCTTCTCCGGATTCTAAAACCAATCATGCTGCACATCTAGACTCAAATTCAGATGGAACATCTGTTGACACATGATTGGACAGTTTGAAAAATTAAAACAAAAACACAAAATTATTTTCAGGCACATCAGTCTGTCTCTCCACTCCCTGTTCTTCAATCTGGTTAAGTGGCTTTATGTTCTAAGAAAGGGAGTGAAAATAAATTTTTACCCAGTTAACTTACATGTACAGTCACTTTTACAGCAAAATTGAGGGATGATGAGGCCAAAATGCATGCCAACTCATTATTTGTCAACAAGGTGTAAACCATTTCTATACAAGTAGCTTAATTGATGTTTCCCATAACAGGTGGGATAATCACGTGGTCTTTGCACTATTTTTTTCTAAACATACATTCTAGTTGATCTTATGAAGCTGTAACATGATTAATTTATTTACTCTAATATTTAGAAACAATTCGTCTTTGAACAAATATTGCAAACAACTACATCAACCCGGTCGGCTACACCGGTTAATTATTATAGGCCTCTTTTTTTTTTTTTTTTTTTTTGTTCTAAGATTTTGAGATAGAAGGGACTAAAATGCAATAAGTTGCATTATAATTAAGAAATAAGTAATTGACATGGATCTGACGAAAAACCAACAAGAACACAAGATCGAAAAGGAAACCTAAGAGATATTGATTAAAGCAAAAAGTGAAGCGGATCAGCCGGTGTAGATGTGAACGTGGACGGCTAGGATGAGTATAGCATAGAGAGCAAAGAAGATAAGAGTGTGCACCGCAATGGCCTTTCCGTTGGTCTTCATGCTTCCAAACTCCAGCTGCCGGTTGTTTCCTGGTAGCTGAAACAGCAGACCTGGTTGAAGTAGTATGAAGAGTATAACTCCGATAAGGACGGGGCCCCAGTCCGCCATTCTAATTTCTTCCTGTGCAGTGTAGAAACCAGAAAAAGGGTTTGCAGATGGGAGTGAGTTGGTGGAAAGAAAGAAGCAGCAGGTAAAAGGAATTATGGAAATCTTTAATTAGACAAGGACAATTGGGGACTTTCGTCAAATGCTTCTAGGAATTTCAGTATTTTATTTTAATTGGTTTATTTCCTTTATATTTTTTTCCTTTTCGGGAACATTGTGGAATGTTGATAAAAAGGGCGTGGCATAAGGGCATTATTGACATATACGGATCTGCGGTTCAAAATTAATGGACCGTTTGAACCTCATTATTTGTAGATTATAATGAGATGAATAAAATTTTTTTTAAAAATGAGTGGTTTAAAAGTTTTTAATTTATGCATAATATTATTTTATTGAAGATTGTACGGTTAAAAGTAGAAGAGACAAAAATTTAATTTAATGTAATTAAAAATAATGGGGCTCAAACGGGGGCTAACTATCTTATTCATTCAATGATTCATCGACACATCACTTCGTACCTATTTTTAAGTATAAGTGATAATGAGAGAAAAAATGGACATATTAAGTTAAAATAATGTATTAATAAATCATTGATAAACAACAAATTATAGACAACAAATATCAACTTGTTATTAGATAAGTACCTTGGACTCACCATTTTTCTTACCAAAAGAAAAAATAAAGAGGGATGGCTGGCCGAACGTAAGAAAAATCATCAATAATGATAAAATTCTTCACCCTTGCCGAATAATAAAAGGAAAGATAATACCACTTGTACACTTTTAGTGTACATAATAGATGACACCCCCTCCATGTGAGGGGTGTCAATAATTATGTACACGAAAAGTATACATGTAACACTACCCTCACATGGAGGGAATGTCTGTACACGAAAAGTATACATATAACACTACCCTAAAAGGAACATAATCCCCACCTTATTTTTGTTTGTTATTCTTGAATAAACTAGGGAGTTTTCTTCATTGACAATCCTCTTATGTCCTTGAGAGATCATCTTCTTTTTGGGTAATTGATTGTGCAAATTCCCTCATTCATCCATATATATGTGCTTGTTTTGTAGAGATTTTAATAATTGAGAAATAAAGTAGGTTGGAATAACGGTTGGAATAGTAAAATAACTGTAAAAAAAATTGATTTTAATTTGTTTAAAATCTATACCAAACAAGCACTATAATTTTACATATAAATATTCTCAAAACTAATAAGAGTTTTAATCACTAATATAGGGACTTGCTCTTTGTTGGAAGAGAGAATGTTCGATCTCTAAATTTTAATCTACCAAAAACTCCTTGCTTAAATAGGCATTTAATCCTACTGGACCACTTGTATATCAAACCATTCTAAAATGACTGCGAAAATTAATACGATATCAGACATCAATATTGTATGATATTCTGAAGTATGTTAACACACCCGTCTTAACACTCTGCCCCTGTTTGGTTTAATTAAAATCTAAGCTTCATTATTTTCACTATTTTTTTTTATATATTTATTTTCAACTACACATTCATACGAAAAATTCTGCACATAATCCCATATCTTATTCGTACTTTTTAATCACGCGTTCTCCTAAAAAACTACTGTTCAAAATTCTATTTTCTTGAAATAATGGTTATTAAAAAGGGGTTAAGTTAAAATTAACAATTAATTTTAACCATACATTCTATCTGCTTTTATCAAATTCTAATAAAAATCTGATTTTATCTAAACCAATCATGTGCTAAATAATTATGAAGATTCTGACAAATGAATTGTCATGAAGTTTATACAATGCGAGCACCATAGACGCCAGTATTGAAATTTTACATAATGAAGCACCGCCCCATCACCGCTAGTGTTTTGTCCAATTGTTCTCCAACAGACAAGTGATTCCTTGCCATATCCGACAAAGCTAATAAGATACAGAAAGGAAAAAAAAAGTTAAAAGATGCAATTAATTTATTCGTATTCTTACTTTATGGGAGAGGAATTTCAATTCAAATTGTATGAGGGCCATAGTCCCTTTATTATATTCTTTCCAAATCTCCTTCCTTCTCTATCTATCTATCTATCTAGTTGGAAGAATCAAACAGTTCAAGAGGCATTACCAGCGAAGGTTTAGAATGAAGGATTTGGCCACCCCAATTATAGCTGCATCCCTCTTTGCATTTCTGTCGCCCGGACTAATATTCCAGCTTCCAGGAAAGCACCACATGGTCGAATTTTTTAACATGAAGACAAGCATACCTTCCCTTTTCCTGCACACTGTTATCTATGGTTTGCTTCTCATTCTCTTCTTTGTGATCCTCAATGTACATCTCTATGAATAGGCCAGGAAGATTCCACCTAAAATATGCCTAATCTGTGGATTCAAGTTACTAGTATAATTTATTTGTTGTGATGCACTTGAAAAACTGGGTGCAGCTTAAATAAGGCATCTTCATCTATTGTGTTGTGTTGTGTTATTATATTAAAGACCATAATTTCACTTCAAAAATGTAAGAAACTTTTAGATCATCTAGGAATCACTTTATTAGCCTGTTTGAGAGTGATTTTTCTTCCAAAACTATTGATTTTTTTACCGTTATTTTACTATTCTATCAGTCATATTTGACTTCTTCTCTCACGGGTGAACCCCACTTTTCTCCTAACAGTCAAAAAATCAATTATCAAAATCACTCCCAAACAAACTCTATATAAGTGGGGAACAGGTTATAAGATCAAACCAACGTGATCTGACACAATGAACTACAAGAAGATATTATTTAACTAACCCAAAAGTACTAAAAATAAGGCTTAGTCTATTTTTGTATCATTTTACACAAAATTTGACACACTTTCGATCACTTCGTATAGGAATTTAATTTCTTTCGTCGATTTGAAAGCAAAAACAAAAAATAGATGCATGGTTGACAGAATATTGGATCAACTGATAGATCTTCTGAGACAATTCTGCAGCTGTGTTATTGACAGTTGGAACAGGAACCAGAAAGCACATTTTATTGGGGGTTCACTTGTCATCCTACTTATCAGTCGCCACCCTTCCCACTGTTAGCATTTTATTTTCCAAATGGTTTCTCCATGAAATCACAGAACTTCCTTTTCAATTGATAAAATTCGGAGTTTCACCACGACAGACGACAATTCGCATTTGATTCCTGCTTGTGTATTAAATCGTTGTATGATAATGCAAACTACTAACTATGCTGATTTCACCACTAAGACAATCATTCACTAGACGTCAAATTACGAGTAAATTCCACTAAAAAAAAAAAATTTACTTATCAAAGATTCTGAAACTCAAGGCAGAATATTCAATGAATCATCACTTTCTTCCTTTTTGTTTTGGGTAATTTTCAATTCAAGCATCGTTATACACAGTGAATTTAAAATAATCAGCCAAACTTAACAAATGGCAGAAGGGAATGCAGGGGGGTAAGGGGCATTAATATATAAAGGCCAGCAGTTGTGAAGAGGACACGAGAAGTTACCAAATGGGGGATCACAGGAATCGGGATTTAAATTTGAGAAAAGCGAATGTTAACAAATGACCCAATATGCGCGCTACTTAATGAAGGCAGGTACATCTCAGCTCATTCCCTTGAATTCCGAACAGGCTTAAGAGAGTCCATTCATTCATCCTGTGAGAAGAGAAGCTGAGAAGAGAAGGAGCAGTGCCTAAGCGCTGGAGTGGGCACCTAGGCGCCACTCCGACTGCCAAATCAGACAGTAAGTTGGCGCCTAGGGGCCAGTCAAGTGGCGACTAGGCCCCCCGAGTGCTGGAGAAAATCAGAAACATGGCGCCTAGGCGCCACTCTTGGGCCCCGATAGGTTATATATATAGCTATTCTTTTCCTCCTTCATTTAACACAAGACCTAGAGCCCGGTTTTAAGAGAAGAAAAGAGAGAAAACTTGAAGAGAATTTTACAAGATTGAAAGTTGTTCATTTTGGGTATAAATTCAAAATTATTGTTTTTTTTGGGGATTAACTTGAGGCTTGTTCAAGTAATCCAAATACATTTTCTTCATTTATATATTGAAAATCATTTCTTCCCCATTTTCTTGTTCTTCAAGTGGTTTGGAAATTTTCACAATGTCAAGCTTAATTTCTTGGGCAATCTTTGGGAGGTCATTTTCTCAACAATTTGGTATCAGAGCTTGTTCCTAAATCAAGGTGGTTAAGCTTCGATTTTGTGGTAAGTTGCTTGAACTTTGTTGTGCACAAGGTGTTTGTGAAAATTCCCAATTGAACTTTGGTGATTTATTTTCGGTAAACAAGTGGATAAATCATGTCTACTAGAGGAATGGTGAAGATTGGGAAGTATGAGATAGAGAAATTCAATGGGAAGAATGATTTTTCATATTGGAGAATGCAAATGAAAAATTTGTTGATTTCTCAAAAGTTGCACAAGGCATTGGCGGGAAAGGAGAAGAAGCACGTTGATATGTCGGACGAGGATTGGGAAGAGCTAGATCTTGAGGCACGAGCGTCTATCATTCTTTGCCTTGAAAGAGATGTTGCTTTCTTGGTTGATAGTGAGGTAACGGCGGCGGAGGTGTGGACAAAGTTGGAGGCGAACTTCATGATGAAGACTCTAACAAATCGGATCTATTTGAAGTCCAAATTGTATACTTGCAAGATGGATGAAGGTACACCAATCCGGGAGTACGTCAACGAGTTTGATAGGTGCATATCGAACTTGAAGGACATTGATGTGAAAGTAGACAATGAGGATCAAGCACTTCTACTACTTCTTTCATTGCCAAAGTCTTACGAGAATCTAGTACAAACATTGATGCTTGTGGGTGATAAACTTGTGATGGAGGACACTAGAA